CATGTACCGTAGCCACATATGAGGCATTTAGTGACCATCGGTAAATTGTCTGGCCACAGTTTTTAAGCTCAAAAAAATGTGTCGAGTCACTGTTGATCTTTACAAAACTGCAAAACCAGGGTATGCAAAGACAGCTACTCGTTAGCATGTGATTGATACCATACTGTACCCAGGCATGTGTGCTGGTACGGTCGTTATTTAACAGCCAATTTTGTGGTAAAGTGCATCCAACAGTGTATTTTTCATCAACTGAAAACTACATGTCCTCTAAGGAAATATTTTGAGGGACAGATTTATCATAGTTTTTTGCTAATCGGAGTTGAGTGCACAATTCAAACTTTGTTTTTGGATCAAGGCTGGCAAACCTGGAATAGTACAGGGATGATTGCTGGTGTCCCGTGTCTTTGAAGTGTATTTTTCCCTCTACCTTTGCTGTGTCCACAAGATTTAGATGTCTCTCCAAAACTCTGTCAGATCAGCGTGGCTGCTCCCTCGGGCCATCAGCGTCGTGTGTTGCTATGCTAGTCACAAACACTGTGTTGTTGCTCCCTGTTTCCACACTTTGTGTCTGTTGTATTGGCTGCCGGTCAATAGAACATGTGCACGTTCCCTAACGGAGAATTCTTCTGTGAATTCTATCGGCCTCCACGCACCGTGAAAGAAGACATTGTGGCTCTCTACGCTTGTACCTGGACACAAATAACATCTCACAGAAGGCGCTCTTTGCTCCGGCCTTTGAACGCTCCTCCTTTCTTTAAGTAGCTCCAACATTCAAGCTCTCTTGTAACACTGGAGGGGAGGGTAATTACCCTCATCCTTCCCTGTCAGAGTGTCTCTTCATTATCTTCAGTAAACATCTCATTAAATAGTAAGTGGATGTTTTCTCCTTTTATGTAATTGATGCACAGAGACCTTAAGCTGTTGCACGTCATTTTCTGCCACCCATTCTGCCCTGCTCTCACCTCAAGCTGCTGCAGTTCAGCAGCAAAATCTTCCGTTTATTTCCGATGCATTCATTGCTTGTCCTGTGCTCTATATTGTCCTCCTGCGCTCATGGTCTTGAAAAGCACGTTTTTGGCACCGTGCTCGACGGCGTTCCTGGCAGCGAACGCCACGCCACGTCTGTCACAAGCAGCTCCTTATTCTCATTCCAATTTATAGGCATTTGGGTGGGTTCCTGTTGCTCAGACAAAAGGCTCTCTGCCTGGAAGCTCCACCTGCTACCTCATCGACAAAGAGCTGCATATACATGCGAGGCTCTCTCCCGTTACAGTTCAAAGGCAGAGCTGGTGCTTTAATTTGGCTTTGCAGCAGGTGTGCAGCTTGTTTTGGGTGTGGGTCGGTGTTCCTCTCCAACATGGGTTTGGGTTTATAACTGGATTGATAAAGAATCATTCACTTATTTTTAAAATAACAGTTTGATGATGATAATACCAAGATTTTACACCTTTTGCCATCAAAGATAAGCTATACTGAGAATTTTGTGATATTTTGTTATTAGTGTTGTGTGTAGCTGTCTATTCTTTTTTTTTTTTTTTAGTTGCATGTAGTAACGACTTTTAGTTTCACTCCAGCTACCTCTGATACTTGTTTTACTGTTTCCTGTACTCAGTCTTTCTGACTCTGTTCTTCCAGATGAGGATTTGAAAGCGGAGTCTAGCAGTGAAGTCGTCCACCCTGATGACTCGCAGGCAGCAACCCAAGATCAACAACCACAGCAGCAGCAGCAGCAGCAGCAGCAGTCGTCATCTCAACCAGAGTCGAGCGGCGGCAGCAGCCAGGTTTCTGCATCTGGAGGCCTCAAGAAACCGGACCCGCCCGACTTGGCTGATAGATCCTCCCAGTCCTCTTTCACCAGCCAGGATGGGACAGGTAATCACTACTGGGGCTTGTTAGCGCTCATAAACTGAAACACTACGCCTGTCTTTGGTGTGCTATCAGTAGACCAACACTTTTGCTTTCTGAATGACAGAGGAGTATAATGACCGGCTCAAGAACGAGAAAGCTGCAGGACGGGAATCAAATAACCAAATGCCAGGAGGCAGCAAAGAGGTATGGTTTTACTTTTGTTTGACTGAAGCCTGTTGAAATGTAAAGAACAGTGATGACTGCATGACGTCCATAGCACCTCCTATCTTGTATTTATTTATGCAAAGTTCCTATAAAGACAGACTGCACTGAGCAGGCTTATTTCTACCCATGCACACACATTATACCAGCGTTGATGAAGCAAAAAACATTTAGCAGAAACATCGCCCATGCTTGCCTTTTATTGTAGCAGCACGACAAATGTCTAGATCTGTGTTTATTAAAGCTGCAGTTTTTGCCTCCTCTCATGTTCCAGTCGTCTCCCGTTTGCTCCGACGGCGAAGCTTCGCGTCTCAGCTTCTTCAAAAGGGACCTGGCGGTGAATCTGAACAACTTGTTCAAACTGGGTCAGGAGGGTAAATACAGGGTCTACCACAACCAGTACAGCACCAACGTCCTGGCGCTGAACAAGCATCAGCACCGAGAGGACCACGACAAGAGACGCCACCTTTCCCACAAGTTCAGCCTGACCACGGCGTCAGAGTTCAAGTGGAACGGCTCCATCTACGGTTCAAGAAGTTTGACCGTCTCCACCCTGCGTCTTACTATCATCCAGCTGGAAACTAACGTCCCTGGACCGTTTATGCATCCCAACTGGGCATCACACAGGTACGCCTCAGAGAGACTTCCAACAATGTGCATGTCTTACTCTGCAACACCTGTCTGTTTGTCAGTTAGCACATTATATTTGGATGTGAATGTCACGAGTTTCCTTCAGAAATAATGGGAGAAACACTGCGGCTCATACAGTTTGTGTTTTGTTTTTGTAGGACCAATTGGAACAAAGCAGTGCAGATGTGCAGCAAGGCCAGGGAGTTTGCTCTGGCCTTGGCTATACTGGAGTGTGCCATCAAACCCGTGGTTATGCTGCCGGTATGGAAGGATTCTCTCGGACACACGAGGTAAAGGAAGAACAAAACTGGCTGCAACTGTGTGTTTTCTACATGAACACTATTGTATAACTCACTTATCGTGCTCTCTGGAGGACTAAACAGGAACCAGTTCCTCTTTATGACCTCTAGTAATTTCCTTCAGCTGTTTGAAGTACACAAGCAGGACTCCTCATTTCATTTTCATCTCGGCTGAATGCTGCATGGTGTTTTGTTTCTTTTTTTTTTTTGCTTCAGGCTACATCGCATGACCTCCATGGAGCGTGAAGAGAAGGAGAAGGTGAAAAAGCGAGAGAAAAAGCTGGAGGACGAGGAGACGCTGCAGCAGGCCACTTGGGTGAAGTACACCATCCCCATCAAACACCAGGTAAAGCATCGGCGTCCTTCATCTGTAATTCAGCTCAGCGTGTTGCCGGGGAGGCTTTATGCCGTACATACTGATCTAAACCGGCAGTTCCCACATTTTGTTCAAGCTTTTTTAGAAGTTCTCCCACCACTCTGTAACTTCAACATCGCCACTCATGTTCCGACGGCATGTTACTTACATGTTACGCAAATGTTTTTCTGGGACTGTTATCCGCTTCTGAACTCTACAAGAAAGTGTGCCAACGCTTATCAGAAGAGTTAAAAGATGTGTCTGCGATGAGCTTCACAACAGATACCTGGAGCGCTGACGTACGCCTACCGTAGTTTTTGAGTTTAGTCGTACTTGTACACTGGTTGGACATGAGTTGTACACCTCACCGTCTCCTGCAAGTGCACGGTTATACTTTCGATAATAAATAACAGTTCAGTCCATTTTTTTATGCGTATTTCTTTGTTAAGCTTTAGTTCCCAAAGCAGGAAGGCAGTTTTCAAGCTTAGCCTGATGTTGCTGTACTCATAAAGGTGATTTCCTGTCTTGTGAGGAATACAGCTTCATGATTTATGTCATTGGTCCATTTGAAATGGAGGAACAAAAGGACAATAACTTCTTGTTTAACTGTACACTAAATTGTATAATTCATCCCACACCCACCCAACCGGTCGAGGCAGATGGCCGTCCCTCCCTGAGCCTGGTTCTGTCGGAGGTTGTTTTTCCCCTGTGGGGGTTTTCGGTTCCTTCCCGCTGTTGCGGACTGCTGAAGCTTATAGGGAATCCAAATGTTTTGGATTGTTGGGTGTAACTGCCTTTGTTTTGCGCTAACAGATGACTTGTTGTTGTAAATATGCGCTATACAAATAAAATTGCATTTACGCTGGTGTCAGATCAGGACTTGTAGCAGTCGTATTAAAAAATTAGTACTGGGGCTGAAAAGGTGCATTCCTAATTGCTAGAGTATGTTTTCATCCTGGTTTAGGTTGTCAGTCATTACTTTTAATTTTCTGTTATATTTCTCTGTTTTAAACCAATTTTCTTGCACTCTTAATTGCAACCTGTACTAGAAATCTTAATTTTATTGTTTTAAATCAGTTGAGTTTTTGCACAATCCCTTCATGTGGCTCCTGGGGTTCCAGTTCCTCTGGTTGACATCAGAGACTCTCAGAAAGAGTCGGTCGGTGCTCTGGTGATGTGGTGCGCTGAAAGGCTAAAGAAGTGTGTAGTGGTGAAGTGCTGATGTTGTTGTTCAGGCTGCTTTACAGTCAAAGATGTAGTTCCTCAGTTTGAATGTGTGTAATTGTTCTCTTTAATGATTGTGGTACTTTGTCATTATTTTCTACTCGTGTGTTTGTAAATGCAGGTGTGGAAGCAGAAGGGGGAGGAGTACAGGGTGACGGGTTACGGTGGTTGGAGCTGGGTCAGTAAAACCCGAGTGCCACGGTTTGTTCCGAAGCTACCCGGGAACACAAACGTGAACTACCGCAAAGAACTGGAGGGTAAGACCAGAACTCAAGTCATTTCCCAGCGGAGCTTCGTTTTATTTTTGTGAATTTATTCTTCTTGCTGCTGACACTCTGCTTTCATAATGATTTTTTATTTTTTTGTCTTCATTGCAGCTAAATTGAAAAAGGAACATGCAACAGCTTGCACAAAGAAGCAGAAGAAGTTGATGGAGATGGATAAGCAGACTGTTCAAAACGCAGCACATGAGGACGAGAAACAAGCCTCGGTTACTGTGGCGTCTCAGAGCACTTCATTAGAGGACGACGGCAAACCTCAGACCTCTGAAGAGGAGGAAAAACCTGCAGAAGAGGAGAAGCAGCAGGAAAAAAATGTAGAAGAAGAGAAGAGAGAAGACGAACACTCGGAGGTGGACTCCTCCCTCGAAGCTGCTGTTTCAACTGACAACAAAGGTAAATGTTTGAAATTAAATGTCCTCTCCTTAATCTGTGGATTTTCCTTGATTCTATTTGTGAACAACTGTTTAAATCATCCACTGACCTCTGTGATTCTTTGTCACAGATAAAGTTGAGAACACCGACCCTCCCTCACCTGCTGTTCAACCTGCAGAGGAAGAATCAGCCCAGATACCTGAACAGCCCAAAAAGGACGAGACCGCAGCGTCGAAGATCTTCTACGACGTTGTGAATGTCAGCGAGGGCTTTCAGCTGAGAACAGCTTACAAGAAGAAGGTGAAGCCGTCCAAACTGGACGGGCTCTTGGAGCGACGGGTGAAACAGTTCACCTTGGAGGAGAAGCAGAGACTGGAACGGATGAGACAGGCAGCCCTCCTGTCCAAAACGGTTGCCACGAAGCCCGCCTCTGGGGTTAAGATTGAAGGATCTGCATCAATCAAACCGCAGCCTGCTGGGACCCCGTGTGTTAAAGTAGAGGAGAAGGAGGAGAGCCTCCAACTGAAAGATCACGTTGTTAAAAAGCTTGACTTTGAGCAGGAACACACTGGGGCAAACACGGACAGCTTGGATGTCAAATCAGACATCACCGTACCCAGCCATAGCAACCAGACGGAGCTAAACGCTGTGCATGGCAACGGCGGGGAGGCCTGCGCCCATAAGGAAGTGAACGGAGGACCTTTAGCAAACACTGAACTCAACAGTAGAAACAACTGTAAATCAGAGACGGTGGAAAACAGCGAAAAACAGAAGCTAGAGGTGGCTCGAGTGGGAGAGAATGTTAAAAAACGTTCGTATGAAGACATGGAGCAGGGCAGCGGACAGAGCGACACGGAGAGCATGGAGGTGACCGACAGCAAGAGCAGTCCGCTGCAGGTGAACGGAAAAACTCTGGTCGCCTCCCCGACGGACCGGAACAGCAGCTCTGACCCGGCCAGTCAAGTCCAAGGTGACACTAAAGAGCCTGTCAAGGCTCTGATGAATGGAAACGTGTCACAGAATGACGTGCCCAACACATGCCACCCGCCTCCCCTGAAAGTCCCTAAATTAGAGAATCACGTCGGAGAGAAAGAAGACGCTCTCAGTAAGAGTGAGGACGTGGCCATGGACGGTGAGGGGCCCGTGCCTGCGAAGCTTCAATCCTCAAGCTCTTCTTGCCAGAACAGTAACAGTACAGACAATTGCACTAATAGTGAAGGTTTAAAGACTTCCATCACCTCTAGTATCGCCACCACAGAGTCTCAAAACGCCCTCACAGCTGGCGCCTCCAGCACCATTAGTCGGCCTAATGTGACGTCTCAAGCAGTAAGTAGCGCTTCCTCCGTCAGCACCTCCCAGCCCAGCTCCGGAGCGCTCGCATCCCCGAAGACTAAAGTTCCCACCGCCGACGCCAAAACGAGCTCCTCTGGTTCCACGTCGAGCAGCGCCATGACGATTAGTAAAGAGTATTCCACCAGGGACCGCGTCAGCCTTCTCAGGTTCTCCAAGTCCAAGAAGGCCCGCTCGGGCACAGCTTTGCCTTCCTACCGCAAGTTTGTTACCAAGAGCAGCAAGAAGAGCATCTTCGTCCTGCCAAACGACGACCTGAAGAGGATGGCGAGGAAGGCCGGCATCCGGGAAGTGCCCATCTTCAACTATAATGCCAAGCCTGCCCTGGATATTTGGCCGTACCCGTCGCCTCGGCCCACCTTTGGGATCACGTGGAGGTCAGTGACAGATTCAGACACTTGCAGGGTTAAACCTGGCATTTGTATTCTAGAGACCTTCTTTTGAATAATGGACACTAATGAATGGGCTGGGGTGTTTTTGTTTGTTGGCTGCTGTTTTGTTTTTGTCCACGTTGTTTTTACACGGCAATAATAAGACGTTTTTCCTCTCATGAGCACAGTATTGTTTTACCAGGATTAGAGTGTGTATGTAAGCAAGCAAAGTGTGACACAGCCAGACTTTCTTTGAGTCAGTGACAAAAACTAGAGCCTCAGTCAGAGATAACGAAGGTGGTTATCAACCTTCTTTGTCAACTTGAGAGAAGGCGTGACTCCTCTTCTGCACAAAATGGAGTAATGTGATGTATTTATTTTACCGACCAATGCAGCCGCTTGTCTCTAACATGACAGCTGCACATTAGAGCTTAGAAACTTCAAACTTAATATATTTAAACATATTGTATTGCAGTGCAGTTTGGTCTGACGTAATGCAGGATATCACTTTATCTTTTGGCCTAATCAAAGTGAAACTAATGCTACTGATTGAGTGATCTCTGTAATAAATACCAGTAGAATAATCCATTCTGAATCTATGTTCTATAAGCTGCAGTGAAAACAGACTTTACAGCAAATCAGGACCAAATATAATATATATATCATATTTATGTGATTTCTGCATCACCTGTGAATACATGTCGGGTTCCATGCATATATCTTGCAAGACGTACCCTGCACAGCTTCATTCGGTGGAATAAGTAATGTACAGATCAACTGGTTTGCAGATGTAACGTATTCCCTCAGCTGAGAATGTGCATCACTCATAGAGAATCATCAGGAATCGGTTTGGTTGAAGGGAGACGCTTCTTCTAGCCGATTTAAATCCAGAACTCTGAACATAACCTCAACATAGCTCGCTAACCACCTAATCTCGCCTCGTAGTTCAGCCCTCAGGAGGTGGAAATGACTCACTGGTGTCTTGTCATTGTTCAGATACCGTCTCCAAACTGTGAGGTCGCTGGCAGGTGTTAGCTTGATGCTGAGGCTGCTGTGGGCCTGCCTCCGGTGGGACGACATGGCTGTGAAACCCTCTGCTGCTGTCGGCACCACACGGAAAGGTGAGAACATCCTCCGTCTTTTGTGTTCCACTTCTTTTGGCATCTTGTCTTTGGGCCTTTGAGGAATCTTAGCATGTCAGAGCATGTGTTCATGTAGCGTTCATCTCATTCTAAAGGGACTACACTTCTTGACTGCAACCCTCTTTGTGCTTCTGTCTGACAAATCATACAGCTCAGGATAGACAGAACAACCTTCTAGACAATTTTCTTGGTTAACAGGGTGACGAGTCCCACCCACATGACTGGTTGCTGAAAATGAGCAACAGTGACGACACCAGGGACTTTCTATAAAGTAGTTTTCAAATAGAAGAAAACATGGGTGCAGCACTTTTTGCTAGGTGGCTACATGTGGCAGCTTATGTTCTTTCCTCACTCAGAACAATTCAAAGCAGAAGCGGGCGCTTAGAAAAGAAAACGGACACTCAGTGTTAGTTTGCATATCTATTCAAATGGGAAAGTAGGGAAAAGCCATTCTAAATAACTGAAGCATTGTGTTTTAATTCCCACCAAAGAAACCACGGACACGGATATCACCACGACAGAGATTATAAAAAGACGAGACGTGGGGCCCTACGGCATCCGTTCAGAGTACTGCATCAGGAAGATCATCTGTCCCCTTGGAAACCGAGACACTCCCAAAGGTAAAGCACATGTTTCTTCAGAAATATTGTAGAATTTAAAAAAAGAAAAAATGCAATTGCACAGTTGAAGAATGACCATGATTAGTGCTGCACGATTATGTCCAAAATGATCGTCACTGTTACTTTGTTCAATATTGAAATCGGCAGCATTTATCATGAGCCAGTGCAGTGCAGCAGCTCAGATGTTCTAACTGAGGTGTTCTAATGTCAGATCTACCCAAGCTGAAGCCACAGGGTTTGAACTACATTGGCTGTTTTCTATGAATGAGCAGACTCTTTAAACGTCAGTATCTCAGTTGATTGTGTTGCTTTAGTGGTGGAAAACCAAAGTTGAGATTAACACTCAGAGTGGTTGTCGAGTTTTGTCAACATTTTATGTGCATACTTAATGGTTACTGTCTTACTTTCAATGAGCAGAAACCCCGACGCCACAAAGGAAAGGCCTTCGCTCAAGCGCCCTGAGGCCCAAGAAGCAGGAACCAGCCAAGCTGACGGGGCCGATCGCTGTGGAGACGTGGGTAGCTGAAGAGGACCTGGAGCTGTGGGAGATCCGAGCCTTTGCAGAGAGGTAAGAAGCACAGCAAAACCACCTCTCCGCATGAGTGTTTTGGGAAGTTTTAGGAGAAATAATTTGCATGTTTTTCTTTGGTGTTGCAGATTGGAGAGAGAGAAGTCACAGGGTGTAGATCCCTCCAAGACTGGGACGACTCTGAAGACGGCGGAGGAAGTCAAGGCCCATCTGGAGAATCAGCTGAAACAGGCCAGACTGGCTGCCCAGCAGGTGGGAACACAGCACCTTTCACCCACACAGGTGTTCTCAGCAGAGCACGGCTTGGAGGTCAGCCAGCTCTCTTTATACCTTAAACATTCTGACATCTTCGTTTTAGAAACGTCTTGAACAGCAGAGACCTGGTACTCCTGCCACTGCTTCCACAACCACCACCTCAGCCAGCATCCCCAGCACCCCAGTGTCCACGGGCCAGAGGATCGGTCAAGTCACACCTGGAACCAAGATGGTCCTGGCCACCAAACTGGGCTCTCCAGTTTCGTTCCAGCAAGACAAGAACTTCCACCAATCTTTCGCTTCCTGGGTCAAGCAGGGTCAGAACAACAACAACAGCTCAGGTGAGCAGGTGGAGGACAGGGAGTGGTCTGCATTCATGTTCCTTTCCATCCATCATCATCATCATCAGGCAGGAGGACAAACAAAGGACCTCGTCCCTTTTTACCATTTTCTTTTTCTTTTTTCTTTTCTTTTTTTTGTATCATTTCACAGCCGTATAAAAAGTGAATCATCAGCATGACTTTCCACAACTTTTTGAGTTTTTTTTGTGTCCGTTTTCCACATTGGTGAATATAAATGGCTTGCCAAAATGACTTTGCGGCTCGTGGTGTCCACTTTGAATCCCGTGAAAATTCAGAATTCTGAAGTCCAACAGAAATACACATAAAGCCGTGTATCATCAGCATTTAAAACGTTTTATTAGCAAATTGTAAGAGCATCAGCCCCCTTGTTGACTGGAAGCGGACAGTGGACACCACAGCCGTAGACTGGCTGTTGTGGTGGCCCTTGTGGGTACACGTGACTGCAGGTGGCATGGTGTGTCTTGCAGCCTCCGCTGGCTCGGTGGTCACTGTGGCTAGCAGCATCACCACCACAGAGCAAACCTTCCAGATCGCTGGCAGCCCAGTGACTGTGGCTGGCCAAGTCCTCACCGCCAAACTGCCCCTTCCCGCTAACAGCAAGATTGTCACGCTCAACATGCCCACTACTCAAGGAGGTAGGGAGCACGAGTGTCATCCATTTCTGCTGGTTTTTGGCTCACGTTGGCCAAAATGGATGGAAGAGTGTCGTGTGAGAGGCAGCAGTGATGGAGTATTTACACTGAGCATGAATGATGCCACCAGTGTCTTTTTTTTCCCTTTTTATTGTTTTTTTTTTTTCTCACATTAGATTTAAAAACTTTCTCCGGCCAAAATCTGATCTTGTTTCTTGTTACTGATGTGTGCAGCAGGTTCTGTTTTTTCCCTTCAACTGAGTGAGGCAGATAGTTCAATCTTGTTTTTTGTTTTTTTAACACCATGCAAGATTTTTTCCAACGACACACACACAGTGCATGTTTTGCTGCTTCTGTACATCCTTGACCTGTATCTCTCTCCGTGTACACGAGCATTGCCTTACATAATCATTCTTATCGACAGGTGTAGTCCAACAGAAAGTCCTGGGCATTTTCCCCTCTGGGCCTCCTGCGAACCTCAGAACATACAGCACACTACATCCCACGACTGGCAAGATCAACCTCAGAGCCACAACCTCTGCCTCAACTACCCAACAGCAGGTCGTCCGTCTTTCCCTGAAGACTTTTCAGTTTTACCTAAAGATAATACAGACACTAAGCATGATTGCTGATGGTTTCACTCTTGGCTCTGTTTTGTAGGCCGCCGCAGCAGGAGGCCAAACACAGCCCGGCATGACGATGAACCAAACACTTACTCCATCTACCTCTGTGGGCACAACGATGATCAGAAGTCCAGCTTTGGCTCAACAAGGTAATTTTTATTCTCAAAATAAATGTCCTCAGCCTTTTTGGTCCTGTGCCTTACAAGAAATAATAAATCTTCTTTCCTTCCTTCCAGGCCAGGTTCAGCAGGCTGCCACCCCGATGGGCCGCGCTCAGCCGGCAGCTTTACCCGGTTCTACACCTGTGCAGGCAGCTTCGGCTCAGAGAGGTCCTGCACCATCACCTTGTGCAGCCAGCACGGCTCCTGGACAGCCGCCTGTAGCTTCCCCTCAGCCTCCAAGACCACAGCAGGGTCAAGTCAAACTCACTATGGCACAGCTCATGCAGCTAACGCAGGGCGCACAGGTCAGTGGAAACTCCATACATCCACAGTGTCTCGTGTTGTGTTTGTTGTCTTTGTGCCTCTTTATGAAGTCTTTTCTTTAAAGTAGTTCATACCATTAGAACAGATTGTGTCACTACAAGTTAACAGTAAGAGTCTTTTTGTCTGTTCCTCTGCAGGGAGGAAACCCAGGTCTGACGGTGGTGATCCAAGGTCAAGGCCAGACCCAGGGGCAGCTGCAAATCATCCCCCAGGGTGTGACAGTCATCCCTGGCCCTGGTCAGCAGCTAATGCAGGCAGCCATGCCCAATGGCCAGGTCCAGCGATTCCTCTTCACTCCGATGCCTCCATCCTCATCCGTTTCAACTTCAGTTCCAACTGCTGCTACCCCGACCAAACCTGCCGCAGCGCAGACCCCTCAAACCCAAATGTCCACGCCAACTCAAGCAAGACCCCTCGCACAAGTCCAGACAACTCCGTCATCGTTGGCCCAAACACAAATGACGGCTCCTCTGCCTGCCCCAACACACGTTGCAGGTCCAACACAAATGCCAAGTTTAGCCCCTGCCCCTGCCTCGGTCCCTCTGCAAACCCCGGTCGCTCCCCCACAAGCTTTAGCCCAGCCCTCACTGCAAACACAAGTGTCAGCCGTTACCCCGCCGTCCGTCCCCGCTCTGTCGCAGATATCTGCTCCCGTGTCTGCTTTGCCACAAGTTGCACCCCAGCCCTCCACACAGCTTTTATCTTCCACACCAGCCTCAGTTGCTACACAAAATGCAGGCCAGACGATGGCTCAGAAACAGATCTTCACCTCGGTCACAGCCCCAGCACAAAACCAAGCTGAGGTCCAAACTCAATCCTCCACCCTTACACCACCCTCAGCCCAAACTGCAGGTTCTGTCCCAGGGCTTGTTGCCTCCCAGTCTCAAATCCAGACACACCCCTTTAGTCCTACCACGGGCTTAACATCGACCCCTGCCCAGACACATGCCCCTGCTTTGTCCCCCGTATCAGTCAAGACCGTTAACCAAGCTGCTGCTACTACAGCCAACATTAACTCGGCCCAGATGCCCGTTTCCGCCTCTCTTCCTTCACCTGTCCAAGCTCCAACCCCCGCTCTTGCACCCGTCTCTGCTCCTGTCATAGCCGTCGTGTCCACCCACATTGCTCTCCCGTCCATAGCCAAAGCTCCAACTCAGATCCAAGCCACAGCTCCGGTTCCCCTTCACGCTGGTGTGGCCAATGCTGTTGTCACTCCAGTCACAGCCACATCCACAACACCTTCAGTGCCAGGTAGGAATGCAGACATCGTCCTCTTGTAGTCTGTGTACGATGCTTTTCTTTCCAAAAATGTGTTTAATACTTGTTCTTCTCTTGTAGCTCTAATCGAGCAGAGGGCAGCTCAGCCTCAAGGATGGACTCCAGCCTCATCTCAAGCGCTGACTCCAGTTCAGCCCGCTCAACAGGCTGCGGCTCAACCACCTGCCCTGGCCACGGTACCCGCCTCCGCCCCTGCACCCATCTCCACGCACTCCCCCGTCACCCCCCTGCCTCAGGCATCTCTGACCCCTCAGTCTCAAGCACAAGTCCAGCACCCCGCCGTTGTGTCCGTGCAGCAGATGTCTCAGATTCCAGTCTCGGCAGTGCAGGTTCATATGACGGGGCTACCGGTCTCCTCCGTTGTGACCACTGTGAGACCCACACAGCCTCAGCTCCAGCCCCAAACCCACACTCAGCTTCAGCCCCAAGCCCAAGCCCAAATCTGTGCACAGGTTCAGGTCCAGCCTTGTGGTCAAGTCCAGCAAATGTCTCACATTCAGGCGCAAGCGCATCTCCAGGCCCAAGCACACGCTCAGATCCACCCTCAAGTCAGAGTCCAGTTTCAGCCTCGAGCACAAATTCAGCCACAAGCTCAGCAGCCACCGCAAGCCCAAGTCCAGCCCCTTCCTCAGATTCAACCTCAGGTGCAGTTCCAGTCCCAAACCAAAAGTTTGCCCCAGGCCCAGCTCCAACCACGGGTCCAACCTCAGTACCAGCAGGTACACGCTTCTTTTCAAACACAGCCGCAAACCCAACCTCAGGCTCAGCAACAGCCTCAGGTCCAGCCGCAACTCCAGGTTCAGTCCCAGCCTCAGGTTCAGTCTCAGGCCCAAACACAGCTTCAGCCGCAGCCCCAGATCCAAACCCAGCTCCATCCCCAGGTTCAGGTCCAGTTCCAGCAACAAAACCAGATTCAACCTCAGGCCTCACAGCAACCCCAGGTCCACATTCAGTCACAGGTTCAAGCTCAAGTCCAGTCCCAATCCCAGTTTCAAGTGCAGTCACCGCAACAGACCCAAGTCCCGCAACAGCTTCAGGTCCAAGCCCAGCCTCAAGTCCAAGCGAAGCTCCAGGTCCAGTTCCAACCTCAGAACCAAACTCAAGTCCAGTCGCAGCCTCAGCTTCAGGTCCAGTCTCCCATCAGGCATCAACTCATCACCGTTCCAGGCCTGCAACAGCCAGTCCAGCTGCTCTCCGCCCTGCCGCCCCACGTCGCAGCTCAGATCCAGGCCCAGATCCAGGCGCAGGCGCAGCAGCAGGGTGGCGCCGTTCCCCAACAGATCAAACTGCAGCTGCCCATCCAGATCCAGCAAACTGGGGGGCAAATTCAAACCCATCAGATCCAGAACATGGTCACTATACAGGCGCCAGCAAGCGTCCAGGAGCAGCTTCAGAGGATGCAGCAGCAACAACAACAACAACAACAGCAGCAGCAACAACAACAACTACAACCACAACCACAACCAAAGAAGAAGAAACACCACGAAGCTAAAAGGGAACAGAAGGAGCAGAATCTGCAGGTTGTGAGCCCAGGGGATGGCGTCCAGAAGCAGGTATGACTCAAAGAAGAACTGAGTGATTGATGTCTGACAGCATTTATACATAAACTGTCAGGATATTGCTCATACTAAAGAAAGTTTTTGTGATTGTCAGGCGGTGGTGAAGCAGAACGCGACGGCAGAGCAGCTGAAACAGAGGAAGACTCTGGCTGCTGCTGAGCGGGAGGAGAACCAGAGGTTTGGATCTGAATAACCACAGAAATGTTGAATATAATTTACCTTGAACCCTTTAAACTGTAACTGTTGATGTACTCTGATATAAGACTGTACTGAGTCGCTCCCACAGCAGCTGAACCGAACTGAAACCGCTGTTCTCTCTCCTCAGAATGATTGTGTGCAACCAGGTGATGAAGTTCATCCTCGACAAGATTGAGAAGGATGAGAAGCAGGCAGCTAAGAAACGAAAGAAGGAAGAGGTGGTGGAGCAGAAACGCTCCAAGCAGAACGCCACGAAGCTGACTGCACTGCTGTACAAGCACAAAGAGCAGCTGAAGGCCGAAATCCTGAAGAAGAGAGCGCTGCTGGACAAGGAGCTGCAGCTGCAAGTACAGGTTGGCACATGTTCAGACTTCTCACACACGATCAAGTTTAAAGAATTTAAAGCTGGTAGGCAGCATTCTCTGGCTTCATCGGTCAACGTTTCCACACTAACCTTTCAGCATATTGTAGCATAAATCATCTGAGAGGAACTTCTGAACCTCCTCCTAGCTCTGTTACACACTTAAAACCTAGAACATGAAGAGAAATTTTAGCCAATCGCAGAGCAAAAAAAACATAGATGTGTTTTCTGCCTACTGCAGCTTTAACAGGCAACACATTTAGAGGTATTTTAGGATATAATACATTCATGTCATGTGTCCCCCTCAGGAGGAGCTGAAGCGGGACATAGCCAGGCTCCAGAGAGAAAAGGAAAAAGCCCGAGCTGCTATCGCCCAGGCTGCCGCGGCGACCGTGAAGGCAGCCGCCTCCCACTCGTCCCACTCCTCCCATCTTTCCCACTCCACACATTCCTCTCACAGCAGCCACACAGTCACCTCAGCCTCCTCGTCCCATAAACGCAAGAGGGAAGACGAGCGGGACAAAGACAGAAACAGAGACAGGGAAAGGCATCACGACAAGGACAAGAAGCGGGACCGGGACAAGGACAGAGACCGGTACAGAGACAGAGATAAGGACCGAGACCGGGAGCGAGAGCGGGAGAAAGACCGGGAGCGGGACAGACATCGAGACAGGGACCGAGACAAGGACCGAGACAGGGACAGGGACAAGGAAAGAGATTCCAGCTCATCAAAACACAAGAAGAAGAAGAAGCTGTCTTCTACCTCAAAGGATCACAAGAAGGACACCAAACTGTACTGTATCTGCAAAACGCCCTACGACGAGTCAAAGTGAGCACCGCCTCCACTCATCTGGCTGCTTTGGCAAAATGTCCACATATTAACGTGCTGGTCACTCGTCTTTTCCTCCCTCAGGTTCTACATCGGGTGCGACCTGTGCTCCAACTGGTTTCATGGCGCGTGTGTCGGCATCACGGAGAAGGAGGCCAAGAAGTTGGAGGACTTTGTGTGTAACGACTGTAAACGTGGCCAGGAGGGAGGAAGCAGCGAGGAGCTGTACTGCATTTGCCGGACGCCGTACGACGAATCACAGTAGGGCTCCTTACCCGCTACACAGCTTCACGTGTTACCGTTAGCAACCCTGCCCTGGCTGTTACAGTCTCAGAAATGCAGAGTGGTATTTATTTTGTGTGTGTGTTGATTCACCGACTCGCGCTGTGCTAACCGGGATGTGTCCGACGTTCCCTCAGGTTCTACATCGGCTGCGACCGCTGCCAGAACTGGTACCACGGGCGCTGCGTGGGCATCCTGCAGAGCGAAGCCAACCACATCGACGTGTACGTGTGTCCGCAGTGTCAGTCGACGGAAGACGCCATGACGGTCCTCACGCCGCTCACTGACAAAGACTACGAGGGCTTGAAAAGAATATTACGTTCGTTACAGGTAAGAAACCTGCGTGTACCTGTTCAGTAATACTAACTGTAACAGAGCATCTAAACTTTCTATCATACGCTTTAAAGGTAAAACAGATTCTCTTGGATTGTTTGTAACAGGGAAGATCTTTTTCTAGGATCTAGTCTAGGATTGTTGACCTTGTGTCCAAAGTGCTTTTTGAAAACTAGAAGCTAATTCCATTCAGTTGAGCTTCATTAGATCAACTTTAATGATCCACAAGGGAAGTTGTTTTATCACAGTAACACAAAATAAATAATCATATAAGAAAATTCAAAAAAGCAAGTGGGAAAAAAATAATACACAAATATCCATTATGTACAGTTTTAATCGTAGCAACTGCTTGAGTTCCTTGAGGACGTTCCACCTCTCATCCAAGAGGCTTCATCAGCTCTGACTGACTAGTTGGGAGTTCCAGATACTTATTAAGGAGTCATTAACACCTGAGTTTTAATTGGGGGTTTGTTGCTCCTCCCCCTCGTTATGTGAGTCGTTAGTGCTCCCCCTGACACAGTGGGGTTCGTTAAGGTGTTTTGTGGCTACGTGTGGATGTGCTTTCACAGCAACAAGTACCTTGAAGCAGCTTTTTTTGTTTTGCATATTCGGTATTTAAACAGCTTCACGCAATTTTTTTTTAAATTATAGGGTTTCAGTTTAAATACTACATTAAAGTGCATTAAAGTCCGAGCTTGTTGGGGTAGGAAGAACCGTGAGGGAGATCCAGCGCTCCAGGTTGCTCTGTGTCCTGGAAGTCTTGGACATTTTTCAAGACCGCACCTGGAATGAAGAGTTTCACTTTAAAATGAGCCAACATCTGACAACTTGAGTCAGTTAACAATATATTCATAGTATTAACCTCCTCATCATGCATCCTTTGGCCAGCTCTAATTTTGCTCTGAATTTATCACCAACGTTTACCTCAGTAGATGATTTGTTGTACCTGTGGTCATTATCTGAGTTCACCATCTCGGTACTCATTCATAAATTCACTTTCTAATCGTTTCAGTCTCACAAAATGGCCTGGCCGTTCCTCGAACCAGTGGACCCTCACGACGCACCTGATTATTACCGCGTGATCAAGGAGCCAATGGGTAAGACCAGACGATGGGAACTGGTTATGGTTATCTCCTTAATCGAGTTCTTAATGATACCTCCATACTGTGTGTTTCCTCTTTAACGTAGTAAACTTGTCTACGTTATCCTCTGTGCTTCACATATTTCTCTGCCCCCTCTCAGACTTCTCCACGATGGAAACCCGTTTGCAAAAGCGACATTACCACAAGCTCACCGAGTTTGTGGCAGACGTGACCAAAATCTTCGACAACTGCCGCTACTACAACCCCAACGATACGCCCTTCTTTCAGTGTGCCGAGGTGCTCGAAGCCTTCTTTGTACAGAAGCTTAAAGGTTTCAAAGCGAGCAGGTGAGATCAAGCGCCTTCACAACTCCAGACTCTGAAGGTTTCTCTCGTCGCCTCCGTGCTTCAGCCTCGACTGTCCTCACCGGCTTACTCAGAAATTCTGTCCTGTTGGTTTCATTTGTTCCTTTTTTAATTTGTGCATTTGTGGCTGCCATTTACTTTTTTTGTTTTAATTCTCTGTGCCACTAGCATGAGTAGAATGCGCTGAACTCGTAGACTAGACTTCTTTTTAACCCTCTGAACCCCGAGTAGGAGACTCGTCTTACCTGTGGAAAAAGTGCAGCCGTGGCTACAAGGAGAGGAAAGTTAAAAACAAAAAAAAAACAACCTTAAAATAACATTTCTTTTTAACTACAGTTGTGACTCGATAATCCGACACTAAATGTAAAACCTTCTTTTATGTCGGATTGTCAAGACGGAGGTCCAGATACAAGGAGGGCTTGATGCTGGAAGGCTCATTAGTTGTTCATATTCATAGTTGTTATAATAACTAGTGTATTGTTAGAACACTACACATCGCTGGATTTCACTCCTAACTGACCGGTGTGCGATTGTGCACATTCCGGCCACTTCCACCCCGGGGCAGCGCTCTGACGGGGTGGAAGTGTCCAGAACACACAGGCAGTACTTGGCTGCTGATGCTAGTTTAGTTAGCGCTCACACTTCTGTTTCCTCCATCGGTGGCGGCGGGGGAGTGGCAGATACGCTCCACCGTTACCATCCATGTTTACTTCCATAAACACTGAGCACGCTCGCTGCGTGTGACGTCGTCGTGTCCTCTTCTGCGCATGCGGGACACTTTTGGCTCGTATGAAGTTCACACAGCAGATCACATACAAGTCGCATTGAACTGGAAACGTGAAGGAAGTCACAAAGAAATCCTCATTGAGCATCAAGTCCTGCAGTGTGAACGTAGCCAATCTGTGGGATTGTTCAGTCAGATAATACGCCGTCATCCTGATTGGTGACATTAAATGTCATGTCGGAGTCACAATCCAAGGCTGTCGCTATGTTAAGGCTGTTTTTATGGGTTCTGTTGGTTTTTCCTAAAAACATGTCAGATAGCAGGTTTAGGATTGTTAAGGGTCGGATTATCGAGTCACGACTGTAATCACGGTGATTCCAGAAGCCTCCAGGTGTTACCAATACTGGAAATAAACAGTTTTACAAGCTCTAGGAAGACGTTTCACTGTGCTGAATCTCTGAGGTGTGTCACAGAGCTGCTGGGTTTCGGGGTTCGGAGGGTTAACGTTTGCTTGATGCTGCTGAAAACTCACCAGACATCAAGACGTGATGCGCGACGTGTTTCATCTGTACCGTGTATCATCTTGTGTCTGTTCACCTTTGCTGCATGCCTTTTTGATTTACGCCATCCCATTTGTTTTCTTCTTTCTTACAGATTGTCAGATTCTTAAGTGGGCCAGTCTAGCTGGAGTCTGGACTGGATGCTGGGGTCTCTAGTGATAAACTTTGTGTTCCCAAAACCAGCAAAACAAACAAAAACAAAAGAAATTAAGAAAAAAACCACACACAAACACCAAATGTGCTTTCATTCAATTCAAAGTGAACCAATTGTGATCACAGTTTCCAGTGATAATAAAGTGGCAGCCATGTTGACACGTGTTCATGATGTAATCGAGGGACATGCTTTGCTCTCATTCCAGATCTGATGATTGGCCTCAATGAACAATCAGTCCCGCCAGCGAGGTGGTGTTCAGTCGGGTTTTAAACACATTTTAGTTTCAACCTTGTATTTATTTCTGTTCTTCGGATTTGGATCTGAGAATATATAAGAACTGCCTATTTTATTCTAGAGATATTTATGAGGGGTGTTTGTTCGCTGCGTCCCCTCGCCTCAGTTGGTCGTCTTGAATGTACATAAACTTTTTATCATGTACAGTTGTTGTTAAGAGTTATCTGTCTGTTTTAAATAATGGTGAAACGAATCCTTTTAGATAGTATTATTACGATACTAACGTGTCCTCGCACAGTAACCTCAGTTCGTAGTCGCTAACGAAAGGCATTCCCGGTTTAATGACACCAACATGGCTGCTGGTTGCTATGCCGACCCCCTCCTCTCTCTTTTGCATCCTTCCGTATGCGTTTTGATCACTGTGCAGCGGTTCAATGCGAAGGCTTCTCAACTCTCCCCCTCTCTCTGTAGGTCTCATAACAACAAGCTTCAGTCTTCTTCAGCCTCTTAGAAAGCGTCGCACATTGCGCAAACAAAATGCACTTGCCAAGAATATGGCTTTTTCTGAACTGTAACTCTGTGACGGACTCCGCCTCGCCCGGCGTTTGTGGGGATTCGCTCCTCTGACTACCTGCATCCGAGGCACTCGCTGCTTTCACGGGATCGTTCCGGCAGAGCTGAACCCCCCTAATGGGCCGAACGGGACCTTTATTTTGTTTTCTTTTTCGGACCCCCGTCTTCATCAGAGGAGCGAGAACAACTGAGGCATTTCAGAAGAAAGTTTACCTCGGAGAAAAGACTCTTACGGAGCTCTCATATTTCCATGTACTTTATTTTTGATCGCAGTCTTTTTATTTTTTTCTTACTTGGTAAAAAACAAACAAACAAAAAAAAAGAAAGAAAGGAAAAACCCCTCAGGCCATCCTGGTGGTCGTCGTGTCCGATGAAAAGCTGACGTACAGCGGCTGAGTTCTACTGAGCATCACGTGTCATGAGTTTTCGTGTCTAAATTCAGATTCTCGCAGTGGAGCGACGTTCTTCTCCCATTTCCACTCATCGTTAAACGTCTGAAGCGGCATGAAAGACGGCGTGCTGGACGTCTGGACGTTGGTTAAACTCCTGTAATCTACTGAACGTAACAGTAATAAGCTATTGGAAATCAAACGCTTTGCAGTAGCGCCTGACTGACTGAGAAGGATGAAACCATGTGTTTGAAGGTTCCTGCCCTGTTTGTAAAAAAAACAACAAAAAACAATTTGTCAGATTTCGACTTGATTTCTTTTTCGTTTTTTTGTATTACAGCTGAAGAAATATTGATGTATATGGAACTTAATAAAACTGAAAAGACTGATTTCTTCCTCTTACGTGTTTGCGAAGGTGACAAATTGGAGACGTTTTTATCCAACGTTTAAACTCCGCTTTGGTGAAAATCATGTTTGTTTTTAATCTTCCTGACATGTTCATATGTTGTTTTTTATACATGATGACACATAATGAGTGAAATAAACAGTCAGCACAAGGGCTGAGTGTCTGAAGATCCTCAGTCATCCAGGTCATGAGCTCCTTGAAGACGTTCCACCTCTCATCCAAGAGGCTTCATCAGTTCTGACTAGTTGGGATGGCTCCTTAAGGATGTCAGTATGTGGAACTCCCAACTAGTCAGTCAGAACTGATGAAGCCTCTTGGATGAGAGGTGGAACGTCTTCAAGGAACTCAAGCAGTTGCTACGATTAATCTACGAGAACAAGGGCAGAGTATTTCCACCTTGAAACTGCAGCGTATTGACGACAGTCTCAAAACCACATATTCTGACTTTTGAAGTTTCAAACCTGAATGATTCATCCCGTTAACTTGAAGGATGGACGTTTCTCAGGTTTTTCTTTCTGTTCTTCAGGATCAGTCAGGAGTTTGTGTTGCTGAATGACACCGATATTACAAAGCAAACAGGTGAGCCGGTGTGCTCGATCTGCAACGAATAGGGAGGAGAGGGTGAAGTGAACTTTACAGAGCTGCACATTCTAGAAGAAGCGACAGCGTAGAGTTACAGTGAAGCCATTTTAGGGCAGGAAGGGATCATCCATCCATCATCTCTACACCTTAATCCTCACCAGGGTCATGGGGGGCTGGAGTCTATCCCAGATGACTCAGGGTGAAGGCAGGTTCACCTGGACAGGTAACCAGTCTATCACAGGGCTACACTTAGAGACAGACAACCAAGCACACTCACATTCACACCTACGGACAATTTACAATCACCAATTAACCTCAGCATGTTTTTGGAGGAAGCCGGAGAACCCGGAGAGAACCCACGCTGCACGGGGAGAACATGGAGACTCCACGCAGAAAGATCCCGGGTGTCCTCACCGGGACGCAAACCGGCGACCTTCTAGCCATGAGGCAACGGTGCTGACCACCGAGCCACCTTGCAGCCCAAGAAGGGATTCTCTTCATAGAAAAACCTCTAAATCTTAAATCATCAGCGGCGGAGACAATATCAATCAAACTTAAGTTACCTCTATTTTTGTCATGTCATTTCTTTTATAAAGTTATATTTTTGGCCTTTTGTTTTGACAGAACAGTAGAGAGAAAGACATGAAAGTAGGGAGAAGCATGGGAGAGGGACCTGTAGCAAACGGCCATGGGCTGGATTCAAACCCATGACCTCTGCGTCGGGGACTATAGCCACAGTACATGGTCACCAGCTCAACCAGTTGAGCTATAGCGGCGGCCCTGTCGGGTCGTTTCTACTGAGTCAAATCCACTCAACTTCAGTTTGACTATCTCAAGCAAACAACAAAAAGATAAGTTTTCTGAAAATCTACAAAAATTGAGTCATCTGTTTTCACAAATGAAGTAGGAGTAGCATAAAAAATAATCCTGTAATTATTAATCAATTATTTGTCTATATTAAATAAATAACCAACTATTTTGATAATAAATTAGTCAGCTTGACTCAAATAGTGAATGTGATGTGAATATTTCCACATCTCCTCTATGACAGTAAACTTTGTGTTGTGGACAAAACATTATGGACCATCTCTCATGTTAGAACACACTGATTACCATTTTTCTCACATTTTATAGACCAAACAACTGATTGATTAATCAGCAAAATAATCAACAGATTAACAACAAAGAAAATAATCGTGTTTCACCAATAAAACAAACAAACAATAATAAAGTTAGGAACAGTTTTCCAACTGAATGATTAGTTAATGAACAAATTGACAGAAAACAAATCTGTAAAAGATTTGATAAATGATTATTAACTTGCTGTTTCTTTACATACAAATATAAGCAAATATATAAGTGAATAAATACTGGTTCAATTGATTTATTTTTAAATGATTTCTCTCCTTTAAATCAATCAAACATTATATTTAAAGCCATCATTAGGAGAATTAGGAAATGATTCCTCATTTTCTGATATGTTGTTGATGGTTAATCAAGAAAATAACGATCAGATTTATTGGTAGCAACTTTTAAGAATGCTATCTGATAAAGACAACAGCTTTATTCGTCTAGATTGAGTATTAATTAAATATATTTTTGCATTAAATAGAAGTCTATTTGAGGCGTGGTCTGCGGTAAATCATTTCCCTTGAGTCGTACCATTTGACTGGACAAACACTATTCAAAAATGCTTGTTGCTGTGGAGATCTCGCGATGTTTCCTGCGGCAGTGACGCTGCTTCCTGTGCCGCATGTGATTTTTTTTCAAACCGTCCAATCAGCGGGGGCGGCCGGACGCTCCAGCTCGAACTGGCCAATCAGAGGAGTTTGTAGCGGGAATTTAAAGGTCTGTGCAGCGTTTCGTCGCCACCACAACTTCTACTCGAGCGAGAGGTGAGCATTTTAACGGCTTTAAAAGAAATGTCAGGCTAGTTTTTTGAAAAATAGCAGATTTCCATATTTTCTCTGGGCTAGCTGCTGTATTTCCAGCTTTAGATTCCCGGTAGTAGACCTGTTTTAATGTCAAACGTGAAGTCCGGTTAGCTTGACGTGTTTGTCATTTCTGTTCCAAAAGACTCACGAGGCATCAGCTAAACTTTTTAAAATTTCTTTACAGGAAAACACAACACAAGACTTTATTTTTTTCACTGCTGCTGAGCTCCTGTGCAACTTGAAAAAATGTCCGAGAACGGCGCTCGTCTGAACAAGTTCAAGAACAAAGGCAAAGATGCCAACGTGAGTATTTAACAGGTTAGCATCGTGTGGCTAAGCTAAGCTAAACAGGTGTGGATGTGTGACCCGGTCTCGTCTGACGTGAACGCAGGAGCTTCGCCGCAGGAGGGTGGAGGTGAACGTGGAGCTCCGCAAGGCCAAGAAGGATGACCAGATGTTCAAAAAGAGAAATGTGGCCGCGTTCCCCGACGAGGCCACTTCCCCTCTTCAGGAGAGGAACCAGAACTGCCAGGTGAGGCTTTAAATCCATTTAAATGCAGGTGATGGCTGCTGGTGTTGAACCGTTTAAATGCTGTTTGTGGTGGTCTCACATCTGTCGTCCTGTCCTTTATAGGCGGAGGCTTAAAAATAGACTTAAAAAATTAGTTTATTCATCCTGGTTGGGGATAAAATGCTTTGTCCTTACATTAATGCAATACAAAATCAAGTTTTTTTCTGCCTCATAATGGCCACACAGGAAAGAAAGCACAAAAACTCCACGTACAGTAAAGGCACATGACAGATCTGTGTTTTCCTGTTATTTCTGACCATTTGATAAACAGAAATATCTATTAATTCTGCATAAATATAACCTTAGTAAACAAAACTGGTTTAAAAAAGAAAAAAATAATTCTTACTTCATTTATTTTGCTTTTATCTAAAACCTAAAAACAAAAGAAGCACCACAGAACCTGTTTAGGAATTTCTCAAAGTTACACCAGCTGCTTTTGTCGTGATGAACAACTCTAAATCAGAAGACACACATGGTAAATGCAGATCAATATAGTTTCCACTACACTCATAAAGCTACAGGGACATTTCACTTGTTGCATATCCTGTGAAGCCTTTGTGTTCGCCTCCTGTGGTTCCTTTAACCCACTGCCTATTCTCTGACTGTTTGCAGGCTTTCAGGCAGTGGACAGTCGAGGAGATCGTGGCGGGACTGAACAGCGGTACCACCGAGTCCCAGCTCCAGGCCACTCAGGCTGCGAGGTAGTAACTGTTCATTAAAGAGCACTGATTACTGCACATTTAAAATCCACTCCTTACAGCCGTAATGACTTTGATTGTGTCCTCCTGAATGCAGGAAGCTGCTGTCCCGTGACAAACATCCTCCCATTGACCAGATGATCAGCGCCGGACTGATCCCGAGGTTCGTCTCCTTCCTGGGGATGGCAGAGTGTCCTCCGATCCAGTTCGAGGCGTCCTGGGCTCTGACCAACATCGCCTCCGGGACATCTGATCAGACGGCTGCTGTCGTGGAGGGCGGGGCCATTCCTGCCTTCATCAGCCTGGTCACCTCCCCACACCAGCACATCAGCGAGCAAGCAGTGTGGGCCCTCGGAAACATCGCTGGTATTGACACAATATTTAGATTTTTAAGTACAATTGTGATCGTAGCCAAGGTGTGTTTGTATTCATCTGTGTTGTTCTGTCCAATGCAGGCGATGGATCGGCTCTCAGAGACAGAGTCATCAAGCATGGAGCTGTGGCGCCTCTGCTCAGCCTGCTGGCCGTCCCTGACCTGACTGTGTTCAGTGTAAGTTTCTTCTTGATGTTTGAATTTTGTGTTTTAACCACAAGACTTGTTGATGTGACCAGTTATTCCCCTTACTGGCCACTAGGTGGTGTCCCGACTCAACTGAATGTTCCATGTCCAGCACACCTGCCCCCTTTTCTCACATTTGGTTTCTTTGCAGGCCGGCTACCTGCGAAACGTGACTTGGACGCTGTCGAACCTCTGCCGCAACAAGAACCCCTCCCCCCCTCTGGCTGCCATCCAGCAGCTCCTCCCTGCTCTCATCCGTCTGCTGCACCACGATGACCTGGAGGTTCTGGCGGACGCCTGTTGGGCCGTTTCATACCTGACGGACGGTCCCAATGAACGCATTGAGGTGGTGGTCCAGACCGGTCTGATTCCTCGCCTGGTGAAGCTGCTCGGCTTCGAGGAGCTGCCTGTGGTGGTACGTAGAACGTCTCGTTTAGTGTGATGGTCAGTTCTTGTTGTGTTGTTCGTTTCGTCGTCACGCTGACACTTCCACTTTCCTTCAGACTCCCGCGCTGCGTACCATCGGCAACATCGTGACTGGTACAGATGAGCAGACGCAGGCGGTGCTGGATGCCGGGGCCCTGGGCATGTTCCCCCCACTGCTGCGCCACAAGAAGGCCAACATTCAGAAGGAGGCAGCCTGGACCCTGTCCAACATCACAGCAGGGAAGGACTGCCAGATCCAGGAGGTCATCAACGCAGGCCTCGTTCCGTACATGGTGGAAGTGCTTGTGCGGGTACGTTTCTAGTTGTTTTTGTTCCACTTGTTGGGATTATACTTTTATTTTTACCAGTATTCTGCTGTAAAAGAAAAACATCTTCAACTTTCAGGTCTGTAACTTGTCCTCTACCTCATTCCTCTGCAGGGTGACTACAAAACTCAGAAAGAGGCTGTGTGGGCAATTACCAACTTCACCAGTGGGGGCACTGTTCAGCAGGTGGTCTATCTTGTGCAAGCCAATGTGATCGAGCCTCTTCTGAACCTGCTCTCCTCTAAGGACAGTAAAACCGTCCTCGTCATCTTGGATGCCATCACCAATATCTTCTTGGTCAGTATATTGTCACACCATATTAGAAACAACACATCTGATTAGTTTGTGTATTTATAGGTAGCTGGGTTGTTGTGTAATACTTCTTGTGTTTTGTCGTCAGGCCGGGGATAAAATCGGCGAATCGGACAAGCTGAGTCTGATGATTGAAGAATGCGGTGGACTGGACAAGATCGAGGCGCTGCAGGCTCACGAGAATGAGACGATCTACAGAGCTGCCCTCAACCTGATCGAGAAGTACTTCTCAGAGGAGGTAGGTGGACGATGCTTTAACTGACTTTAAACTCTTTCTCTGTGCCCAGGAGTGTTCTTACAGTTTTTTTTTTTTTATGTTTAAAGGACGAGGAGGTTCAGTCTGTGGCCCCAGAAGCAACCAACGATGGCTACGCCTTCCAGATCAGTGAAGCCCAGAGCACTTTCAACTTCTAGACAACTTTCTACCTCTACTGTGAACTGTACTCGTTCCTCCTCGCTACTGTTTGTCCCTTATTCATGTACTGTTCTTGTATGTGTTGTACATACTGTTTTAACACGGCTGATTAAACAAGTCTGTAAATAAAGTTTTTCGATCATGTGTGAGGATTTAATTCATTGCCGTCATATTTATTGCTCTTAAGTCAGTGTAGATTCATACAGAGAATGGAAGGAGTGTAGATGGAGGTAGTTCTAAACAGCCTTACCGTAGATATCGAGTTAGGCTTTAATGTAGTTATGGTTTTCAGGAATGAATGATGATTCACTTGTGCATGTCGACGGGAGCCTGAGTCTAACTGGAGCTGATTCCCAGCACAGTTTGACCCAAATCCGCTCTCCCAAAACTAAATCAAGCAGATACATTGACCCAAATGTGGGCTCTGTTCAGCCCTCTACCAGCGAGCGTATAGTTCACAGTGTGGTTCTGACGTTTGCCCTTTAAGAGGGAAGATTAAGAATTATCGGAGCAGTACTGCTAAAGAGTTGACATTAGATAAATTGCTGCTCGCTGTTGTGGTTTCTAGTGGCAGAAAATAACAAATAAATCTACCAAAGTGAGGTACTTGAGCACAGTTTTGAGGTAATTGTCTGCTACCTTTTTACTGCGTTACAGCTTTAGTTAGTATTTGAATTAAGATTTTAAACAACTGATAATTTAAGAAG